AATAAATGCTTAATTTTATTAAATTAGTATAATTGTCAAAGTAATTATTATTCAATAAAAATATCATTTTCAATATTTAATTAATATATACAAAAATAATTAGTGAAATAGATTAATTGTTGATTATTAATAGAAAGAAAAAGAAAGAGAATATTCTAAAAAATATTTTTTTTGGTGTAATATTTGGTGAAATAGGTTGGAGATGCAACACTTATTTGATGTGAAACTTGCATCAATTTGGTGTTTATAGTTGAAAATGGTTCTAAGTGTTGGAGTAACTGTTATAAGTTGATCCTTTTGAGGAAATTAGCTTAGCGAAAGCAACTTGTGATGCATAAATTATTAAGCCAAAGCGAGAGAAAGAGAATTAAATTAATGCAAGGAGAGTGACGGACCAACCCACATTATAATTCCCCCAACTACAAACGCCTTTATTAATAGGGAATTCATTGATCTTAAAGGCTAATTCATTCTAATTACAAGCTTAGCACTCATGCACTCACTCCAACTGTTTTCTTTGCTTTTTTTTTTTTTTTTTTTTTCATGACTAGGGTGTCTGAGGTTTTGAGTCAATTGACGCGTACCTCAATTAATTCTCCGAAAACTTAGAACTACCAATCGGATAAGAGCTTCAGTGACAACCTCTATTAGCAACCAAAGAGAGACTCAAACTCAATAACTCTTAAGTAATACACCTAAGAGTCCTAAGAATCTCTATCAAATCATTCGGCATCTTCTTTACTTCTTTATAATTAAAAACTTTTTTTTTTTTTAATCATAAGAGTAATAGGTAAGACATAGACATGTTTGGTACGTACATAAATAACAATAATAATTGAGTGATAAAGATTTAGACACAATAGAAATTTTCAATAAATGCATAAGAAGAATCAATATTGATTTATTTTGTCTTCTGGTATAGAGTTAGAATAATTCAGTCTCATTTAATCAATGCCATTGTTCGTGATCATTGTGTGAAAGCAAGACCAAAGTGAACATTTCAATAAACCTGTTTGTTTCCTTTCCAATTTCAGAAAACAGGTTCTTTAAAACCTTGCCTACTTCTTCACCTTCAAAACAAACTTAATTAGCTAATTTAAATGGTCGAAAGGTTCAATAGAGACTCTTAAGTGTATTATTTAAAATGTATTGAATTCAAATCACTCTTTAGTTATTAATAGAGGTAAACACTATAACTCTTATGCGATCGATAATTTAAGAGTCTTGAAAAATTAATTGACATTTGAGATTCACATAAATTGATCTAAAAACCTCTGATCATTAAATAAAATAAAAATAAAAACTTCATTTATTGCAAATAGTGAAGCTAAACCAACTAGGTCAATTATAATTTCAACTTCTGTCTTGAATTTTCACGGCACCTCACAGATTGATTTAATAATTATAATGCGAAGGGGTTGCCAACGACCAACGGCAGCGGTAGCGCAGATTTTTATGATAAGAGATGGGTTGCCATTAACTTTGCGCTCGCAAATTTGGGAATTGAGACAAGCAATTGTGATAGACCTGAGAGTCTTTTCCACCACACATGGCCTCACTCGTTTACAGAACAAAATGGCTCAGAAGATCACGATATTTTTTTATTTTATTTATAGTAATTAATTCTAAAGCACGACAGCCACTTCTTTTAATATGGTTCAAGCTGAACTGCCGGAGGATGATGTAAATGATGAGCTGGCATAAGACGCAAGAAACCAAAGGGTTTGTTTATTTTATTATTTTAAATAATATTTTTTTAAAAATTAAGCTAGATTATTATCATGAAGATAAGATTTGAATTTATGTATTTGATAAGGTTATTTTTAATTTTATATATTTATTAATTTAGTTAAACATCCTTTATAATAAAAGTTTTAAAATTAATAAAAATACTCATATCTACTCATTAAATGTCAATAGTTGGTTATCACTATTAGAGGGTAGTCAAAAGTCATCGAAATGATGCACGATCGGTTAGGAGTGTTTAGTTAAATTATTAAATTTAGAAAGTTAAAAAAAATATAAATATTTTAAATTGATTAGAATAAGATTAGATTTTAAGAATAATAAAATAAACATAAGAGTAGGAAATAAACACAGTATAAATATCTTCGGTTCAATAACTCAACTTTATTCCATTATAATAATAAAAGGTTTAAAAAAGCTGTCTTTTTTGTTTAACTTATTTGGTAAAAGCAATTGTTTATATTATAATCAGTTATACAAAAGTTCAATAAATTAATCTATTAAATTGAGTGTCTCGGAAAGAATTTTTAGAATATCTATTTCAATAAATTTAAAATATATAAAGTTGCCCTTTTTTTTTATTTGAAAGATAAAATATTAAATTTAATCAAATTACACCTTAAAACTTGTTTCAATTCGTAAACCAAACACCTTTATAAATTGATTATCCATAATGTAAAATTTTAATTTTAATTGAATACTTATTTTTTTTAAATAATAATTAATACAACACATTCTAATTAGTAGTTTTTCAAAAAAAAAAAAAAATCTTAAGTAAAATATTATTTTTTATGTATCACTTTTTCTTTTATACATTTTTTTTTTTTAAACAAGATATTCAAACTAATTTGTGCGCACCTCAACTAATAACTATAAATGACTAACATAAAATCTTACCACCATGATCACAAGCTTAAATTTTGAGAGCTAGAGAAATTCGAATATGAGATCGTGTACTTTAACCACACATCCCGATGCTCCTTATACCATTTGATTTTTTATATACATCAACTTACCATTTATGTGTGAATATTAAGCATTAACTTACTATCACAAACTTATTGTCTGGATGAGAAATTTAAAAATACTACATATGACATATAATATTATTATAAACTTTACAATAATTTTTATAGGTACACAAATCTTATAAGCATAAGAGCATCTGAGCATGCACATAATTAGGATTACTTTAATAATGGTATGGGGATATCCTATGAAGATAACGCAAACCTATACAATTTTGGTGTTGTCAATAAATATATACAAACCCATCATATCTTATGAGACAAGTTATAAAGTTAATGTGATCACTAATTATAATAATGCGCAGTCCCTGTCCATGCTTTCTGTTTGATGCAAATGTTGAAGCTCCATAAGAAAAGATAATGTCAATATATAGTTGTTGGTAGCTACCACATATACATGTAGAGAGAGACACTGAGAGAGAGATATTGTCCGTTTCTTATAATTCACCATTAAATTCCACTATAAAATGTAATAGTTGGAATTGATTTTTATAGATAAAACAGTAAAAGCTGTCTCATTGTAACGCATAAAAGTTGTAATATTCATTATACTCCAAAAAATAAGTCGTATACGCGTAAGACTTTCTGCAATAAAACACCTTTCTCGATCAGCAAACATTTACTTCAACAAAGCGGATTGACTTCTTAATGCTTCTCACTTCTCAAGCAATAACTTTTACATGCTAAAATATCAATGTGTTTTTTCAGAGTCCCTTTTTACTTGTTAATAAAATAACCATTAAAATTCTTATTCAACTAATAGTTTCAGTCTTTTAGAGTTCAAAAAAGTTAGTTAAAGTGCGTATAATCTAATTCGGATACTCCGATTATATAAATACTAATTAAATATTTAAATAAAGTTATTAGTCCAAAAATATCATACCTTAATTTAATTGGTATTAAATTGTCTTCCTTCAAATCAGAATATTTCGCTGCCATTACAGTAAAGTTTACTTGTAGTTTCAACTTCTTACATCATTGTGTAGAGATAAGCTTGAAGGGTATTGACATTAATTCTTGCAAGAAATGATCTCCTTGCAGCTTTCCTTCAGTCAATTGAATAAAGATGAACTTAATCTCTGTAATAATAGTTAATCTAATCCAATCTTAATAATATGCCACACATAGTCAGGAGGTTGGCAGTAGTGGGATTGAAATTAAAAGTCACATTAACAATCAATAAAACAAATCCGGCAGGTTAGAACATGAAACCCAATGGCAGTAGGTGTGTGTTGTCATCTTCCCTACAATATTTCTAACCAAACAAAAGAATGCCAATTAAATAACTTCATTTATGAGATAAATGACCATTACCATGCATAATCCGTCCATTATTATATTTTGTATTGTACAATATGTCGGTTATTCTTTAAACCATTTCCTTTTCATACTGTTCTTGTGATATTTTTAGCCATAACGTATCATATTTATTTTCTTCGGGGAAGAAAGGAAGAAGAAGGAGAAAATCTGTTTGAAAAACTGAATGACTTTCTGACCAATATTCTGACACCTGAGAAAATCAGAATACAAATACCCACTTATGTTACGTCTTTTACAACATGTCAATTGGAAAGAGGATCAACCAGGCCACGCCCGCCTCGTGAAAGGAAGCGATGTGCGGTGGGCGGTGGCGCATTATTTCTTGATAGTCCTTTCCATCGCCCAATCGAAATTCGTAAACCACTGGCCTCTGAGCTTTGTTAAAATCTTGACGGTTTATAAAGGCCACTTTGTAAGTCCACTTTTTGACACGATAAGAGACTAATCTCGTGGGTGAAAAAAGTAATTAAATCTGACGGTTTATATTTTATCAATTAAAGTCCACTCACAAGTTATCATCTAAAAGATTGCATGTGACTCCGGACCCACTCCCCAATAAATTCCGAGCTAAGATCCAAAATTGAATCCGTAAGCTGTATTTCATTGGAACTTTCCCTTAGTATAATACAACAAAACCCGTGAAAAATTTGGTGTTAATTATTTGAATTTGAGATTAAATTTTGGTTTCAATATTTAATGTAAAACTTTTAGAATGACCTTTTTAAACTTCTTTAATTAGGCAAAGGAAAGGTGAGTTGGTTGGCGGGTAAACTTCTACATATCACTAGTCACTCACCAACTAAGGTAGAAATATAATAACTAAAGGGTAAAGACAACGTACCCGTGATCTACCCAACACGAAAACTAGAGTTATTCAGTAATTCATTTATGCAAAGCATGGAGGCTGTAAATAGGGGGCACATCTAGCTAGTGTTAGTGGATTATAATTGGAGTTGTTTCCTTTTCTTTCTTTTTTTCTGCAAAAGGATAAAGATAAAGGTAATAGCAGTAATCTACTCAGTTGTAACGGAAAGAAGGAATGGAGAATCTCGAGAGAGAGAAGCAGTGATCGATGTGAGTCAGGTAGATAAAACACAAAAGCCGGAACACACGTGACGAAAGCTATTGCATTTCTTTAAATTTTTCTCTCTTCTAATTAATCTAAGCTGTATCCTCACACACACACACACCCTCCTTTTTTCTCTTTCTCACCTTTCTGTCTTAACGCAATCATTCAAAGAAGAAGACAACCAACAGCCGTCTCTCTCTCTTCCTTTCGGTATGTGCTGATTTCCATGAGTTCAACAGTTCACACGCATAGATTCTTCATTTAGCTGTTGAAGTTTTCTATATCTATTTATAACTCAAGGGTGTTGCCCAAGCTTCTTCTGCTATTATACTATCTGGTCTCTCTCCATTTCGTGAGAGAGTGAATTCTGAAGCAAGATGACGACGTTTAAATCTCTTGTTACTCTTCTTGTTCTTCTGGTTTTCTGCCACGTGTCCCTGGCGGCTCTGGAGAACAACCAGAACCAGAACAAGAACAAGAGAACAACTTACATAGTACACATGGCGAAATCGCAGATGCCGGCAAGCTTCCAGCACCATGCTCATTGGTATGACTCATCACTCAAATCCGTTTCGGGCTCAGCTGAAATGCTCTACACTTACGACAATGCAATCCATGGATTTTCTACCCGCTTAACACCTGAGGAAGCTCGTTCACTCGAGACCCAACCCGGGATCCTCTCTGTTTTGCCCGAGTTGAAGTACGAGTTACATACAACTCGTACTCCCCAGTTTCTCGGACTGGATAAAAGTGCTGATACGTTCCTGGAGTCAGCCTCAGGGAGTGATGTCATAGTCGGAGTTTTAGATACCGGAGTTTGGCCTGAAAGCAAGAGTTTTGTTGATACCGGACTCGGTCCTGTACCGAGTAACTGGAAAGGCGCCTGTGAAGCTGGTACAAATTTCAGTTTATCTATTTGTAATGGAAAATTAATTGGTGCAAGATACTTTTCAAAAGGATATGAAGCTACATTAGGTCCGATTGATGAAAGCAAAGAGTCAAAATCTCCACGTGATGATGATGGCCACGGCACTCACACTGCCAGCACGGCAGCTGGATCCGTTGTTGAAGGAGCGAGCTTGTTTGGCTACGCTGCTGGAACTGCGCGTGGGATGGCTCCTCGCGCCAGAGTTGCTGTGTACAAGGTGTGTTGGGTTGGTGGTTGTTTTAGCTCTGATATTTTGGCAGCTATGGATAAGGCCATTGAAGATAATGTCAATGTTCTTTCAATGTCTCTTGGCGGTAGCATGTCTGATTACTATAGAGACAGTGTTGCAATTGGTGCTTTTGCAGCAATGGAGAAAGGGATTTTAGTCTCTTGTTCAGCTGGAAATGCCGGTCCGAGCTCGTTCAGTTTATCAAACGTGGCTCCATGGATCACTACAGTTGGTGCAGGCACACTGGATCGAGACTTTCCAGCTTTTGTTAGTCTTAGCAATGGCCAAAACTACTCTGGTGTGTCACTTTTTAAAGGCAATCCTTTACCAGGAAAATTATTGCCTTTTGTTTATGCCGGTAATGCTACTAATGCAACAAATGGGAATTTGTGTATGATGGGTACTTTGATTCCTGAGAAAGTTTCAGGAAAGGTTGTGTTGTGTGATAGAGGAGTAAATCCTAGAGTTCAAAAAGGAGCTGTGGTTAAAGAAGCCGGTGGTTTGGGGATGGTTTTGGCTAACACTGAAGCTAATGGTGAAGAGTTAGTAGCTGATGCCCATTTGTTACCAGCCACTGCTGTGGGTCAAACATATGGGGATGCTATTAAGAAATATTTGTTTTCAGATCCTAACCCAACTGTGACAGTTTTATTTGAAGGAACCAAAGTGGGCATTGAACCATCACCGGTGGTTGCAGCATTCAGTTCAAGAGGACCTAACACCATCACGCCGGAGATACTAAAGCCAGACATGATTGCACCTGGTGTCAACATCTTAGCCGGATGGTCAGGATCAGTAGGACCAACTGGGTTGGCAACGGATACTAGGCGAGTGGGATTCAACATTATATCAGGAACATCGATGTCTTGCCCACATGTTAGTGGGCTGGCTGCGATTCTCAAAGCGGCCCACCCAGACTGGAGCCCTGCAGCTATTAAATCTGCTCTCATGACCACCGCGTATGTTGCATACAAAAATGGTCAAAAGTTGCAAGATGTTGCTACAGGAAAAGCATCCACACCTTTTGAACATGGTGCTGGACATGTTGAGCCTGTATCAGCCCTTAATCCGGGATTGGTATATGATTTAACGGTTGATGATTATCTAGGCTTCCTCTGTGCCTTAAATTACACAGAGTCAGAGATAAACAGTGTTGCAAGAAGAAATTTCACATGTGATGCTAGTAAGAAATACAGTCTCACTAATCTCAACTACCCTTCTTTTGCCGTCAATATTGACACGAACCAGATGGGCAGTGGCTCCACCGTTTTCAAGCACACGCGCACTCTGACCAACGTTGGCTCACCGGGGACTTACAAGGTGTCTATTTCATCACAAAGCCCTGCAGTAAAGATATCTGTGGAGCCAGCGGTGTTGAGTTTCACACAAATGAATGAGAAGAAACTGTATACAGCTACCTTCACTGTTAGCTCAATGCCTACCGGCACGAATAGCTTTGGTCGAATTGAATGGTCTGATGGGAAGCACATTGTTGGTAGTCCTGTTGCGTTTAGCTGGAATTAATCAGTGGGGAACAATAAAGGGGAGTTGGGGGAGGGAAGTTTTAGCTGTTGTTCACTCTGCCACAATTAAGGGGAGTGAAATTGCTTGCTTTTAGCTTTTAATTATTGTATTTCTTATTATCCAGCAGAAACTGATTGCTGGGTCTAGTATTTGATGTCACGGTGTTCTCTGAGGGAGAAAACAAGGCAAACCAAGAATTGGGTGATTGTTTTCTTTCACAGTGTATAGTGGTAATATTAACGGTATGTATGCATGCTACTGCTTTGTTGAAGATCAAATTTCACATATATGGTGAATTTATGTTACTTTCCTTAGGCTCGCATTTTTTAAAATAAAAGATACACAAATTCTCACTAGGGTTAAACTAAAGATTTTTTTTTTTTTTTTTTTGGTACCTGTAATTTTAAAAAGAATAAAAAATTACACTTAGGGTCAGTTTGGTTCGGGGTTAAGTGACATTACTGGGGTAATGTCATCTTATATTACTTGATTACCACGTTTGGTTGTCAAGTAATATAAGATACCAGTAATCTTCAAATACCAATAGTGATTACTATTGGTAATATAAGAGGTAATCTGATTACCTCCATTTTCTTAGGTTTTCTGAGATTACCAGGGTTATCTTTTTTTGTTACAATTTTATCCCTTATTAATAAAAATTTTGGACAATAATACCCCTACTTTAAAACAAATTTACATTAATATCCTATTTCAATTTTACCCTTGTTTAATTAAAATTTTGGACAATAATGCCCTTATATTTAAAAGAATGTACAACCACTACTGCCACCAAGCCACCACCACCACGGCCACCCAGCCACCACCACGTGCCTGCGCCACGCGAACAACCGCCGGAAAATCGCCGGAGCCCCCAAAAACAATGGAAATTCTTGGGAGGCTCGGGAGGCTTCGATAAGGCCGTTTTTGGCCATATTATGGCCGAAAACTGCCAGATCAAGGGATCTGGCCGTTAATGATATGGCCGTTTTCGGCCATCAATATGGCCAAAAACGGCCATATCGAAGCCTCCCGGAGCCTCCCACAGAATTTCCATTGTTTTTGGGGGCTCGGCGATTTTCCGGCGGTTGTTTGCGGTGGCGGCAGGAGGTGGGGGTGATTTCGTCATGAATTAAAGTTTTTTATAAGCGGGGGTGTTTAGCTAAATCTGAAATATTGGGGGTTAAAAAACTATTCAAAAATTAATAATAAAATAATATTATATTAATATTTAAGAGGGTCAATTTAGTAATTTAAATAACATACCCACCAATTTATTCCCATAACCAAACATATTAAAAAACATAACCACCAACTAACAAAACTATTTTCTTAAAGATTCCCAGTAATCTTCCAAGGAATCTATCTTTCCAGTAATCCAATATTCCCAGTAATCTAAATTCCTGAACCAAACGCCCCTTAGGGCATTTCAAATGGTCTTTATATAACCTAAACTCTATTATTAAAAGTATATTATAAAAATAAGGTCAACAAACTCTTTATCTTTAAAATATAAATTAAATAGTGAGTTTGACTCTCTACATCTAAAGAGTTAAATTTCACTCTCTATTCTAATTTTAATTAATAAACTACAACTTCCTATTAATTTATTTATTATTTCTCTCTCCATTAAGTCTTTTTTGAAAATAGAGCACATCTTCATTAAATTTAAAGAGTTTATTGGATTTAAATAAAAATTGTATTCTTATATTTAAAAATTAGTGAAGATGTTTTTTATTTATAAGAAAATACTCTAAGGTATCATTAGAGATGCCCTTACACGAGATAGACCCGAAGCGACACGCCCTAAACAAAATCAATGGAATTTGAGGAAAGGAAATTCACACCCGTTAGTTTCATAAACGAACATACTCTAATGTTCAACTATTATTCATGTCTGATTGGTTTGTTCAGTGTAAAGACTATGGCTGCGTTTGGTTCACAATTTTGTGTTTTGGGAAAAGTTTTTTGAAAAAAGTTAAAAAAAAAAGTTGAATTGGACGGGTATTACGATGAGGATTTACAAATTTAAAATACCCCCTATGTTTGTTTTTTTACAAAACACCTCTCATAATAAAATATTAAAAGTTAACAAAAACACCCCCAATCCACCCTCAAATACGGACAGCCGGCCACCTCCGGCGGTGGTGGCGGAGTCGCCGTAACAAAAACATTAAAAATATTAGGGGTATTTAATTGAATTACAAATTTAGGGGGTTTAAAAAATGTTGAATAAAATTGAATAATATTGTGAGTTTTTGAGTATTTCACTGTTTAACTTTTTTGGGAATATTAAAAGTAGTATTCCCAAAATCCAACCAAACGAACGCTATATTATACTTGCTTTAACCTCTTCTGTGAATAAAAAACACTCAACTACCCCAAATCAATTTTATTCCGAATTCCGAACCCTAACCTCACATCAATAAACCCAAAAATATATACTAACTAGATAATAAAATTGGGCAAGGATAAGAAAGGTGGTAGATGGTAGATCAACAGATGGGTGCTATAGAAGGTGGGCAAGGAGGCTTGGCAAATGGGATCTACACCGTGGTGAGTGGCGCAGCCGTGCGGCCATGGTTGGTGTATTGTACGACTACCATGAACGGTCACATTGCGCAGTCAGATGAATTGTGACTAGGCAATACGATTTGAACAAAGAACTTTTATTTTTTATTGGAATTTATAATGAGATTTGGATTATTTTGTGGTTGTTAAGAGAATTCTTAATGGGTTTGTAATTTATTTTTGTTTTTATTTATCCATTATATATGGTCACATAAAATTCTATCCTCTTTGAAAAATCCTTATCCTCACGGATTCCTTTTCGATACCACCCTAATCAACGAATAATCATTGCTTGCTTAATAAACGAGTTATTGGCAACAACTTTTGTATATGTTTCGTTACTGCAATGGCTTCAGAGAGAGATTAGACTCTATTTAATAATGACTATAAGGATTTAAATTGAAATTGAAATTTTAATTCTCTCTCTATTCTTCTGATCAATATAATAATAGATACATCTTCCCAATAGCTTTATTGAATAAAAATTATATTTTATTCATAAACATTAGTTGATCCATAGTAACATTTGTCACGAATCCCCAAGATTTTGAATTTGGTAAGTCATGCCTAATCTTTAGGGTTGGTAACAATTGTTATTTGCAACCATTATTTGATGGTCCGATAATAAAGGAGGAGAAGAAGATTTTATAAGCATTTGAGTTTAAACCTTTTAAAAATAACTACTAAGGTTTTTATCCATTGATATTTTTAAAACCTTAAAAAATTAATTAAAATACATACAAATTTACTTGGATAGCCTGTGATAAAAAAAATTAATAATTAAGATGTGTCAAAACTTTTCGAACACCCTATGATTAACAAAAAAAAATTGCCATTCCCTATCTGACACAGACAAAAAGTTGCGAAAATTATAAGAAAATATTATATTAATAATTTCAATGTCAAGCAATAATGGCACATCTCTCATCAGTAAAATGGCAAACAAGTTGGCATAAAAATCTTGAATTGCCTCAACTTATGATTTGACAAAAGCATTAAAGCAAAGCAACAAATAATTGGGTATATGTCCTGTAGAAAATGTCCATGAATGTAACATGCCCTGATTAATGGAAATTAAAATTTAGAAATCCATGCGTAATTATGATTAATTTTTGTCATGGGCTCTAGATCAGTCCAAACTTAAGAACTTTCAGATTTCAACTGTGATTTGAATGGATTACAGATAACGGCAACAGGTGAAAATGTGCAGTAGATATCTCGTACTTCAATTAACACGTTGCTAATTAATCTTAGATAAATCGTCCATGGTGTATACCTTTTACAAGATAAGCACATGATTTTCCTTTTCGCATGCACTACTCCTTCACCAGCCACAATTATCGGCTCAAATTTTATGTAGGGTCGGAGACAATTAGACACAGCTAAACTATGGTAACACTTAGAAAGTTAAAAAGCTTTATACAAAAGGCTCAACACAATCTATATTAATGTCTCCGTCAAAAGGCTTAGAGTTTATGAATTTTTATTTTTATTACAATTAGTGATGTTAAATTAAATATTTTACGTGACCACCGTTTATTGACTCGTGATACGTGTGGTAAATCAAACCCTCTTGTTGATAATAGTGGTACCAGTACCAGTGCAGGCCATTTCATCTTGTTATGTTAGAGAATTGCCACGTAGGATGTTAGAGTTCATGAACAAGCAACACGTTAGAAATCACGTGGCGTTGTTATAACAGAAGAGAAAAGGTCATATAAGGAGCTATGCTATCGGCCAATTGCAAATTAAGATCAATAGCAATAATCAAATCGAAAATGGAGAAGAATCAAGATAAAGAAACAGGTGGGAGAAAGGCAACTGAGAATAGTGAAAAGAAGATAGAAAATTTAGAAGGACTTCCAATGAAGGACAGCCCGTATTTGCAGTACAAAGACTTGGAGGATTATAAGCTTCAAGGTTATGGAACGGAAGGCCATCAGGAACCCACCCCTGGCCGTGGCGCTGGCTCCACCGATGCCCCAACTCCTTCCGGTGCTCCCTCCACCACTGATGTCATTAACCGCCAAGGAGTCCCCTAGATTCATTTATATATTTTCAGCCCTTGATCAAGAATCCAATGGCTGAAATAATTCCGTTTACTAGATCCTGTATTTTGCTTTAAGAATCCAATGGTTGTAATATTTTTATTTTAAACTTTGATAAGTTGAGAGGAAACGTGGTAAATGTGAGGATGAATAAAGAGACAATTTGTAGTAAAGGTAATATTGTCGGAAGAAATAAGTAAAGGCAGGTAATAATCATACGACCATGTTGCATGACATAAAGAAAACTTGAAGTGGTACACATGATTTTATTTGGGCCATATGCTGGAATTAATACTGAAATATGTCATCCCCAAGGTCAGATTGGCATCATTTCTTCAAACAAAGCCTGATAAAAAGCTATTTCACTTCCCTTGGTGTTGTACACAAACTATATTTTTTTATGATGCACGCGATAATGAATAGGAAAACACAATTAAATCCGTATTTTTTTAATTGTCTCAAATTTTTATTTTAATATAATATTACCCTTCTTTTTGCTCTTTCCGAGCAACTTAAATAAGATTTAAATCAACTTAGAAATAACTATAGCGAAGTCGTGTATGGTATGGTAGTATTATTGGTTATGAAGCGTAGCCCAAATCAGCGTATTGAGTGTTTTCTTTTTAAGACAAAAAAGCTTTTGTAATGGGTGGTTTAGGGCCATAAGGCTTCAATTGAGAGGCCCAACCCTACCACTATGTTTAGTGGAAGGGCCCGGTTCGTTAATCATCACCAGCGTGTTCCAATTCTGCAAATGAGGGCTGAGCCAATGATGCCATGCCATAGATCATTATTTTTACGTTAATCATATCACAACTAACTTTATAACAAATGTAGAGTAAACGACTTTTTCCCACCAAGGTTTGCCTTAAATAATTTTTCACCCAAAAAGTTTTAAAATATCATTTTTTTCACCCAAAATTAATATTCAATTACTACTCAAAGTCGATTTTGACAGTGAAAATTCTCTCTGTTATCGTCATTTGGACATCTGGTCTCCTCTCGACAAAACTCATCTTACTCTGGCACCTGATTTTCCATCAATTGCCGGCCACCGCAAAGCTAGAATTTTCTATTATTAGCTAATTTTTGGCTAATTCTAATGGCGAATATTATCGATCACTATCATTTGATCTACCGGCATCTACTCTACAAAACCCCTCTCACCTTGGCTCATAGTAACTCGTCAGACACTGGCTAAGAAAATAAAGTGTATTTTGGGTATTAACGGAATATAAACTTTAGGTGGGAAAGTAGTATTTTGAAACTTTTTAGGTGGGAATGTATCATTAAGGCAAACCTTAGGCGGGAAAAAGTCGTTTACTCGTAAATGTAATTCTATCCACATTTATTTAAGACAGACAATCTAAATTTCAAAGAGAATTTAGTATAAGTTCACATTTAAAAATGTAATATTTAATCATCATTTAATTGTTCGGTTAAAATGTATTTTACTATACCAATCTTAATTTGAACTCAAAGATATTATTGCCAATTTAAGTAAAGGTTGTAGTGACGATTAGCATCAAATCAAGATAATTATCATTTAAAGTTAGCTAGATTTGTAGTTGTTTTATATTATGTTATAATTAACACCAAAAGCAATTGACTTTATTTACCTACCCGTGGCTGCTACAGTAGTAGCTCTTCGGATTCCCATTGTTGTTGGGTGAATCTTAAGCAGGATTAATGATGGAATGTCGATGTTTCAGGATAATCCATATCATATTTACCCTCATAAAACAACAAAAAGAGTTTTGTTTTTCTGTTTTGATTACTTTCTGAATCAAATCACAGATGTAACCTCATGAATCAACTGATTAATTACATATCTACGCGGTAATCACAACTTTATTTGTTGTTTCTCAAACTTTCAGTGCTTTTCTATTTTCAGCCCACGCCGAACCCACTTTATATCACAAATGAAATAGAAGCCATTCTTTTCCTGAGGGAGGGGCAAAGGCAACATCACCTTTACAGAAGAAAAAGAGAGAGATAATGTCTACACAGTCTCATTCTGTCATTCACAAACCGTCCGTGACATAACATTTGCAAAAAAATCTGAATATTGATCCATTTTGCACCACAAAAAATTTAACCCACCGACTCTTAATTCATAAAAACCCTCTCTGTCTAGTCTCCATTAGTCTTCATCTCATGAATTTGATGAATACTACTGCTACCAGAAATTTACGTGTAAGCATATGTCCAGTACACAAAAGTTTTATTACAAAATGATAAATTCTTGAGCCGAACAAGCTGTCAATCAAAGTGTGATAAATGTGAATTGGTTGCATGCCATTCAATTTTCAATTTCTTTTTTAAAAGTATTTTTGTGTTTATAAAATTTGCATGCTGAAACTAAAACTTCCACTTTTCTGCCCCACTTCCCACAAACCAAACCTAGCCATTCTGTCCACCACAATAATATATTGAAAGTGAAATCCAGAGTGCATAAATTCTCGTTGAGGTAAGGGCATGTTTTGGCCGGCCCGATGGCTAGCTAGTTAAGACTGTTTTCGGTCCCAAACAAGAAAGAGACACTCTGTTTGGGTCGCCTGCACTGACCTCTCTATTTCTATTGTTTCTTTATTGCTTTACTACAGTTACTTTTTTACTTCTTTATTTTCCACTTGTCCTTCTCTATCTCTCTCTCTCTCTCCTTGTGCCATTTTATTCAAAAGTTTTTATCCTTCCTATATAAACTCTCATTTTCCTCTTTACCCTTCTTCACAGGGACACCATACCATACCTCCATAGTTTTTATTTTGAATTAATACAGCGGGTACAGATGACAACCGAGTTCTCTGCTGAAGATAAATTAAGGGAAGGAGGACGTACGAGCGATCGGGAAGAAGAAGAAGAAGAAGATGAAGCATTGTCACTCTCTGATTTGCCACTCAATTTGATCAATATTGAAGATAATCATGATGATCAAAACCGGTCCAGCGCAGAAGCAAGCTGTCAAGTGAAAGAACCCGAAGATCAAGAATTCAATTTTGGCTCATGGGGTGGTTCTCTTTCAACGGAATCAGAAATGTGTGCAGCCGATGATGTGTTTTTCAAAGGCCAAATTCTACCATTACGTTTCTCAGTAAGTTCAGAGAGTGGGTTAACCAGGTTAATCCAACACGACTTGAGCCACAACTCAGTCACATCATGTCTATCGAGGTCGGAGTCCATGGACCACTTGAGCTCAGTAGATAGATTAACAAGCCTTAACAGTAGCAGAAGCAGCAGCAGCAGTAGAAGCCATAACTCATCAAGCACCACCACCACCTCCACCACTACAATCACTAAAAATTCGAAGCCAAGAATAATTAGAAACCAGTTCCACACCTATCCAAGTCCCAAACCCCAAATTAGAGTCTCCGCTTCACAATTACGCCGCAATACTAGCGGTAACCGGAGCCAGAAATCAACGGTTTGGGACTTCTTTAGGCTAGGATTGGTTCGAACCCCAGAAATCGAATTGCAAGATCTCAAGGTTCGTAACAATAACATTGCAAATAAAAGTTGTGTTAGTCGTAACAGTAGCAGTGGCAGTAGCAGTAACAGTAACAGTAGTAGCAGTATCAACAATTACAATAAACAAGATTTGAAGATCACGGAGAAGAAGCAGAAGAAGAAACAGAATTTGTTGGATAACAAAACAGGATTGTTTAGTGGGTGTAAATGTTCAATTACAGCAGTTGAAACGGTTCCATTGAACAATATTGTGATCATAAAAAGTAACAGTGAGGGAAGCAACAACAGGAAGAGGATTAACAATAATGGTGAAAGTAGCGAGATGGAAAAGAAACTGCAAGAGTTGAAGACAAAGCAGAAAATGAAGGAAAAGCAACAAGGAAAGCAAGCTATGTCACGTCATCGAACTTTTGAATGGTTAAAGGAACTTTCACATGCAAGCTATGTTGATGGAGAAACTTAATTAGCAGTGTATACTACTCAATACTCATCCCGCATGCTTCTTTTTCCCTCTTCTCATCATTGTCTTTTTCTTTTTTTATGAAAGTATTTTGTAATGTTTCTGTATTTTTATTTTTTTATTTTTAATTAAATTAAGTTTTTGTAGCGGGGAAATGTCAAAATAGAGGTTTGGGTAATGTTGTATAATTGTATGGTATGGAGTATATATTAAAGTAAATCTAATTGTTGATATTGATTTGATAAAGGATTGACCGATATCAACAGTTGGACTTTACTTTACTTATATATTATTATCAATATAAATGATTTGAAGTTAGCCGTGATGAGATTGGAAATAAGTGGAGGTGCTTGTCATGATTAAAGTGTGAATTTTGATGCTTTTGTGTGAGAACGGCAAGTCGTGACTTTCACGAAACAATGACTTGAGTTGAGTTGGAGAAAGTGGGAATTGGTGGATGATTTGAATTTGAAGACATGCATTGGATAAAAAGGCAAAACAAAACCAAATGAGAAATCCGTTTCTTGTCATCTACATGTTTTTTTTTAAATGGTTCCAGAGGTGTATGGAATTTTCGTGTCCCGTCAACTATTTGAATTATAGGGAGCCAAAAGTTAATCCCCGATTTAATTCTTTCCTTTTAACTTAGCTTTAGCCTTAGTTTTCAGAGTGTGCAGGTGAGGTCTATTAATTAATTCACCTATACATCTAAACCCATAAATTCAAATTTCTGCTACCACAGTTAAAAAGGTTTTTAATATTATTTTATTTAAAACCTTATTCAACTAATAACCAATCCTTACACAAAGAAAGAATTGCTTTCAATGGAGCATAATAATAATTGGTGAAATATGACGATGTAAAACCAGAAAATGATGACAATTAATATACGCTAATTACATCTCTAAAGTCTAACCCATCCACTCATCTAGAACCCAAATTTATCGGACTTCCAAATATGGGCCTCGAAACTGGATTCTCGTAATCCTGTCTCCCAAAACGAACCTTGCCCATTATCAAAAGAAGACAAGACAGGTCTATTGTCTCCATCATTCCTCTCAGTAATTGAAACGGATTCCAATGAATCTTTTGTTGTAAAATCAATCTAATCGCCCCATGAGTTTTTTTTTTTTTGGCTAGAATTTCAAATGGGATAGAATTCTAGACGGATATAATAAAATTGATTTAAGCAACCATTAGTATTATGTCAACAACTCTCTCTCACAATTAATATTATAAAATCTATCATAGTCTGATCAATTAAACCGAAACTTGGCCACTGAGTTGGGCCAATTTGGTATAAAACCTAAATAATTGAATTCACTCGGTATGACCCATGGTTAGATCGAAGATACTGTAGCAACCGTCAGTCCAACCGGTTTTGGGAAAAAATCGGGTCAACTCTAACCCCCTCCTAAATGTGATTTTTTTTTTTTTTTTACATTTTTCCTCAATTTTTCTTTCTTTCTTTCAAGCCCTAACCCATATTTACCCTCTTCCATTAGTCTATTTCTTAATTCCTTTATCAATTTTTTCTTTTCATCTCTTAATTTTTTCATTTCCACTTCAGCGTTAGCTTTGTTTCATCTTCATTTCATCTCATCTTTGACAGCAATTACTTTCAGGAGTGATTCTCTCTCCCATAGAAGATGATTGTTCAAGTCAAACAAACAACACACATCAAAATAAAAAACACAAGAACAAGAAAAAAAGCAAATACCTAAATAAGAAAGCATGAAAAAGGAGAAGAAAAAGACTTACTTGGGCGATGAAGAGAGAGAGGAGGGGAGGCACGGAGGGAGGTGGAAATGGCGTTACTGTGAGAGTCTTGTCATCTCTCTATGTCTGTCTCTTTGTTTCTTGGGGTGTTGTGGAAGTGTGTAGAGAAAGTTTAGGATTTTTTTTTTCTTTTGTGATTTTTTGGGAAATTTTTTTTTTTTTTTTTGGTGTCATCATGCTGACATGTGGAAGTGTGTAGAGAAAGCTAACTTTTTTTGTCTTTAAGTTTTTTGAGAAATTTTTATTGGGTGTCATCATGCTGATGTCAGCATGATGACATCATCGATTAAACCAACTTGTTCAACCGGTAGACCCGGTCACATTGTCGGGTTCACCCCCAAGTCGGTTTTTAAAACATTGCTCATAACCCCCTCTCATAACGTCGACGTGTCAAAAGATTAGCATTGTCACGTCATCTCCCACCCCACCCAGGACATCCAAGCACCACGGAAAACAAATGGTCGTTCCTAGAGAAGGAACAACTGTTTCTTCTCTTCTTCTCTCTCTCTTCTTTATTTCTTCTTCTTCTCTCTTCTCTTCTTCTTCTTCTTCTTCTCCTTTTGAGAAACAGAGAAACGGGCATTCCTTCCGTAAGAAACGGCCATACCTTTATAAAAAACAGTCGTTCCTTTCATAGGGAATGGTCATTTCTTTGGTCTAGACAAAATCATTTTCCATGTTGAGTGTGGTGGAGCTGCCATGGTAGTGACAGGTCAAGTGACATGTCGGCGTTGTGAGAAGGAGTTGTTGGCATAGCTTTATTCTTAAGAAATTAATCGATCAAAGAGTGTTATATTATTATTATATGTAGTTTTGGTAAAGTTTATCAGTCCTGAAAATCAAAGAATTTATGTTGAAGTCTTTACACTTCTTAAACAAGAAATTCCTATCAATAATTTATCTTGCTTTACAACATACAATCATTGCAATGCAGATACCTGATGCCCAATCAAATTTCAACATTTTTAAAGATGATTTGACTATATCTTTATTAATTAGCTTTTGGTATGTGCTTGTTTTATTGTTATTATAAGTACATGATTCTGCATGTGCTAAATTTTATTTTTAAAACTAGGCATTGTCAACATATTATGTTACGGTTGTGTTATAATTGAAAATTAGAGTAAACGACATGTTCCCACCTAAAGATCAACGAAATGGAAACTTTACACTTTTGGTTTCATTTATTCCAGATTCTCACCCCTAAAGTGACATTGTTGGTAACTGTGAAGCTCTGAAAAATGCTATTACCAAATTGCCCTTGTACCATCCCATTCCAAACCACCACCACAACCCTTTCCAAACCACCCCATTCCCATTTGGGTTTTACGTTTTTTGCTGCAACTTCCCAGCCTGTTTCTAACCGTCCCCTCCACCAGAAATCATCCCCCACCCAGCCATTCGACTCGCTGGGCTGCCCTTTCCAAAACCTCCATATTTCTCGACCTTGTTCACCCTTTTTTCACCGTTGATTGAAGGCCCTCTCCCTAGGGTTTGGTTGATTTAGATGATGATTGAGGTTTAAAATTGTTGGAGGTTTGTGTTGTTTGGAAGCCGATTGTGGTTACTTCAGAAGTGTTTCGGGCTTTTTGGTTTTTTCCCAGTCGTTGGCACTCCTCGAGGCAACCTCCTTTGATGTTTTCTAGTGCGCATACAATGTGTTCGACAAAAGGTTGCATTCAGCGACCTCCATCCCTAGTGTGCACATGACTGTTGCACGGTGTAAGGGTGGTCGACAAGGGGTGCAGGTGCTAGGGTTATGGTGTGGGTGGTGGGGTGTGTTGGTAGATTGGCACCGATTGTTAGCCAGCAAGTCACGCTATCATGGAAGATGAAAAGTCTACAAATGGGGTTTTGTGGTGGCTGGGAGATGGTGTGGGTTTTGCGGCGACTGGAGATGGTGTTTAAGGTGGCAAAAGGATTATGGTGAGTTGGTGGTGGTGGTGGAGTTGAGAAAGGGCCGGGTTGGGTTGTAACAAAATTTTTGATAAAAAACCTAAATACCCTTTAACTGTTATATTAAACTTTTTTTTTTTTTTTTTTTGTGTTAATTTAAGGTGGGAATTTGGAATTTATGAAACCAGGGGTGGGAACTTGCCATTTCGTTAAACCTTGGGTGGGAACATGTCATTTACTCTTTCAATTTTCAACACATTTTTTCTTGGAGATACTATTCAACCATTTTAATCAACAAAAAGAGATGATGCTAAATTACACCAATTTTTTATAACTATGAAAAATTTTGTTTTGCGTTATTATTCAGGCAGTAATAAAAATATATATATTATATATATTTTTTTCTTGCTCAAAGACATTTGTATTTCATATTTCGTTTTTGTTCTCAGGAATCTATAAACCAATAAAAATGAAGTATAAAGTTGTATCATTCAAACACTTTAGCGTTTGAAATGATAGAATATGAGTATACACCATTATTATAGTCTAACTAAAGTCGTTAGTGCGCATTCATTTTCAAAATCATTAATTCATGTTAAAATAAGTTATTTCTTTAACTACTATATACATGATTGTGAAAAATAAATATACATAATATTTTTATATGATTAGAGACATATACATATCTCACCAAATTGATTAAGATACAATATCTAGGAAGATATCTCGTTATTACACTTTGACAAATCAATCATTCTTGTATATTTACTGATTGTCTATCTGTGCAACTATTCAGATTAAGAGCCTATATATCTTTCTATGCGACTTTTAGAAAAACAAAATGTCTCTCAATTAGTAATGTATGTTATTGAGAGTATGAAAGCAATGTGGAGAGAAAATGTATTTGGAAAATCAATCTCTTATTATTTCATCGAACACAGTTTATATCATCTGACCAATTACTCTAGTTAACAACTAACTTGAGTTACAGTTACAGTTACAACCACTAACCAAACTAACAAAGCATAATAAATTACAAATTACAAATTTATCTCAATCTCTTATACTTCTAATACTCCCCTCAAGGTAAAGGGTGATAAAGATCAAACCACCCTAACTTGTGTAATAGTGATAGTAAAGATGCTTTCCAAGAGCTTTAGTGAACAATCAGCTGGTTGTTCTAATGAAGGATATGCAATGCAAATGAGACCAATTTTGAGATGTTTTCAAACAATGGCAGTCAATGTCAATGTACTTACTCCTCTCATGGAAAATAGGTTGGAAAGTAATGTGATTGGCTGCTTGTTATCACAATGAAGAGTGACAAGTAACAACTTAGATGCTGTCAAACAATATGGCAGTCAATGTCAATGTACTTGGTCCTCTCATGGAACATAGGATTGGAAAGTAATGTGATTGGCTGCTTGATTATCACAATGAAGAGTGATTTGAGAAGTTGAACTAACCAAATGACTACACAAACTATGGAAGCCATAGCCCTGTATTCTGCCTCAAAAGAGGACTTAAAAATGGTGGCATGTCGCTTAGATTTCCAGGAAATTAGAGAAGAACCAAGGAAAATATAGTTTCTAGTAACCGACTTCCTTCATGAGACAAAAAGCCCAATCAGAATCACCATAA